GATTTAAGCTGTCCCAGTTAGAACATTGATAGMAATAGCTCAGTTTTAAATAAAATAAATTCCCTGCAACTCGCAGTGTTTATTTCATGCGATTCATAACTGAATTATGTGAGACAATACCTGCCAGCTGCAMAGTCTGACACGTGGGTGATCTGTGTGTTCGTTTGTTTGGCTGTGATAAGCAAATCAGGAAATGGGTTTTTCCTTCTGGAAAGCTCCTCACTGCCTGTTGCCTTCACTTCATTCAAGACTGAAAGATGAACCAGAGTGAGAATYCTGCACTTGTGTGACCTTGAACTAGATAGAGCTTTATGGTGTGAACTCAAACTCTATTTATTCAGGTCCATATTTTAAAATGGTATTGCAGGGACTTCATTACAATGAAACACCTTAAAAAATCTCCCCCTTAGGGAACAGCATACATAAATGTGTGTATAAAACAACAGTGCTTTGGGAGCTAAGGTTTTGATCATCTCAGTTTTAATGGAAAGCCAGTTAACAAGCACACATAAAACTGCCAAAAAGTGATTTTGGCTGAGTCACAGCTCTGCAGCAGGAACACCAACACACCGAGTGCAGAATGTGCAGGAACACACAAACCAAGCACTTCTCAGGGAGCACAAAGCACGTGGGGCATTGTCCTGCCTAAGGAGCAGCTGAAAATATATTGGGATTGGATCTGTTCAGAATCCCACGACCAGAAGGGTACCAGAACCACACCAAGGCTTGGAGCACAAACAAACCCAGCTTTTGTGAGCTTTTGAAAGGCTTCCTGCAATGGCCCAGCTCTCTCTGTGCCCCATATGCCATATGAAAATCCCAGCACACATTAATGCTGGGTTCACCAAGTATTCTGCATAAAAACCAGCAGCAAGGACCTGTCAGAAATGCCTGAGCCCGCTCTGACTTTGCTTGTAAAGAGTTACCAGTGAATAACAGAGGCTGATGAATGAAACACAAAAAACCCACTGAAAATCAGTGCTATTTAAAAGAGGAAATATGCATGGATGGGCAGGATTCATGGCTTCCCACGGTGACAAGTGGCCTTTGAAGTAAATGTAGAGTAGAACCTGCAGAACAGACTCCTGACATGGAGTTCACTCTTCAGCATTTGAATATCTGTATTTCATGCCAGTCACAGTCAGAGATCAGCTCAAGAGGGAGAGCATTCTGCTGCTGAAGGACTCTGCTCCAGCTCCATCARCAGGGACCCAGATGGTCCTGAATAAATATGAAATCATGAAATATGAAATCATTGACTCCCCATCATCCCCCCATGCAGGAGTTTCCTTTTAATATTAGCATCAAACAATGAACTCACACAGATTTGCTACCTTGGTCAATCCCAAAGCAAATTTAGTACTATTAAAAATATGCATTATGCTTTCAAAGCCTGAACAGAAAACTCTGGCTGAGCTGCCTGAAATGTGGCCTCGTGCTGAACACAAAACACAGAGCTCTGCAGTGGGATCCCCATGTGCACACACTACAGATGTGCATTTGGGGTATTTTCATAGGGTCGAGAGGCAAAACCTACACAGTTGGCTACATTTGCTCATGACAGAATGGAAATTTTGGAAATATTTGCGTGAAAGCAACAAACCAGTTAAAATTACATTTTTCTAACTTTTCTGTTAGCTTTCTCATTTTTCTCTGTAACTACCTTGAAGGGTTGGCACGTCCTCTAAAATTACTCAGACTGATTAACTTCTGAGCGTGGAAAAAAAAATATACTTGCCTCAAATCTAAATGTCTTTTTTTTTTTCTTGGAAAAAAATCATTACAATTACTCTGAGCCCAGCAGGTTTTATCTCTCTTGCCCCCATTATTTCCCTGCAGCAGCATCATTGTGTTGCTGGTCCTTGCACACACCATTTAGGCACAAGGAATATGGATTCTRCTAAAACCCTCTCTTTTGACCACATGATGAATTTCCATTGATTTTTCAGCAGCTTTACCCTACCACTTGCTCCACTGATCCAAGTCCTCCAAGGCTCTTTTAAAATTTCAGGTTCASTTCTTGCTGACAATGTCAATTCTTTAATCTCTTTCAGAACACCATAGCAACAGTTGCACTAATCTTTTGAAGACCACTTGGTTTTCATCTTCCTACWTTTTTTTTGGTAATGTAATCAGGCACAGGGCAATAAAAGATACATGATCTTTCGTGCTTCATAAGTTTGGAATGGCTCACATGAGACAAGCTGTGCTCCATCAGTCAGAGCCTTTGTGTTTCACCCAAAGCAGGGAGAAGGTTGATGCTTTCATCCTCACCCCAGGACTTTGCAGAGTCCTTGGGCAGCTCCTCTCCCTGGTCACTTTGAAACATTTGGGACAACATTTGAGACAACTTTTGACTTTGGATGGCAGTGGGTTTGCTGCTGGAACGCTCCGTGCTTCAATCAACAAAATGTGCTTTACCCTGGCCAGGATTACAAACAGCACTTGTGCTAAACACTGAGATCTCATTTCTGTGCACAATCACAGCCTGGAGGGAAGATAAGGACTGAGCTGACTCCTGAGCAGACTCAGCAGCAGTGTGTGTGTGTTTTCAGAGTGATTCCTGTGTCTGTGAGCAGAACATTGGGTGATAGCTCAGCTGGAGATAAATGCCTGAGCAAAGGGAATGCCCTGCCTGGGTACTGTGTGAGCTACCAGAAACCTGAAAATTCMCTTTATCTACCAATATCCTGCTAGKAAAGCCATTGTACTTCGGTGTTCTCYCCAACTGGATTCTGTTAACACAGAGTGTTTTGGCTCTAGCTAAGCGTTATCACAAAATACAGCAAAGATAAACACAAGGAAGCTTTGTAAAGGGAAAAGTTTAATGATTTCATTGTTGGAACCCTTTGTTTGAACCCACAGTGCCTACTGGTAATCTGTTGGGAATAAAGGACCTCGCCTTACATGATTTATACACTAAATTCATCCACTGAGGCCTCCAGCTCTTGAAGGAACCCTTGCAGGCAGATGAATTTTAATGCAGAACAGACACAAACCTGCAAGAGCCCTGAACGCAAGTGGAAAGGAGATACTGAACCCTGACAGGAGATGTTAAAATCCCCATTCCCTCAAATTTGGAATGCAGAGAAGGAGCTGACAAATTCTTTCACAAAATGAGCAAAAAGACAAGAAGTCTGCCAGCAGACACATATTTGTTGTTTGGTAGGGGAAGGCATCTATCTCAGARTAAAATCTGACCACAAAATCCTTCTTCACGCACATTCTCCATCCCTTAGAGGACAGATGCTCCAACAAACATTCCCTGTTCTACCTGACAGSTAATGAGGACAATTATTTCCCTCTCAGATCTGGAATGCAGCGCAGGCTTTCTGCTGACTTAACAGACTGTGGATCAGGAAATTGCTGGGCATGACCTCATTTGATATGAGCAGCAGTTTTACTCTTCAAAGGGGAAGAATATATTGAAGAGTGGGACTTCCAGGAAATAATACTCATCTAATTATCTGCTGAACGCTGCTCAAAGAAAAGACTGCCAGAATTCTGCCATCAAGGTGATGCACAGGAGAGGCAAAACTCTCGAGAAGGACAGAGATATGTCTAAATCTTCTTCCAAATCCTCACCAACAGAAAATAAAATGCCTGCTTAATAACAGCACATCTGAGATGCTGGAGAATCGAGTGAAATTCCTTGTTTTCCTAAAACACTGAGCAGAGGAAGTGGATTTTAACCCAAAGCATTTATCCACATGAAAGTCTGCACCCTGTGATTCTTAGATAAATTATTGAGGCTGGAACTGTTTTCTGGTTTTGATTTGAAACCAGAAGTTCTTACATTATTAGGGAATCAGGCAGAAGAATCAGTATCAGCCTAAACCCTGTGAGGAGCAAGCAGAAGGTCCCTGAGGCCCTCTGAATCTGCTCTGCAAGTTCAAGGCAATTAGAAATGGGGGAAAATGGAATGGCACAACAGAAATTAGGGGTTTAAATCTGAGAGAAACGGTGAAAGTGGGAGGGGATGCTGTGGTGGGTTTGTGAGAACTGTGAAGTTCTTATGAAATTCTTACACC